AGGAGGAAATAAAAAACACACACAGTTTATGGTTTTCTGTCTTTGACTCATAACACTAGGTGAAAATACCTACTTAATGCTCAGCACATTAAGAGTTCTCAAAGGAAGTATTTTTCCACAGGATAAATAATTAGACTCTATGGTCTATAGCATCACTAAAACCAAGAAATCAGCAAAAAAATATGATATTGGGCTTTTTTGCAAGCATACCCAGAATACTAGTAATGTTATTGGCTGGAATATAAAGTACCATTTCCAGCCAATTTCTAATTACTAAGAATTGCAGCAGGCTGTCCAGGACAGCAGATCTGCCTGCTGCAGGTTCCTCACTCTAAAGATGACCACTTTCAGAAAACGCATATTCAACAAAAAGTACTTGATTCAGCACCTGATTTAGAAAGCTGAAAGCAAGGGTCTACATTTCACGTGCTCAAGAGGACAAAGCTCCTCTCGTAGCTAAGGAACAGATACTAATCAGTGGAGCCTATACTGAACTGAGCAATTACAGAAATCTGCTTTAAACAGCTATTAATCTTACCAGGTATCTAAATTTAGGGGTCTATAAACCAATCATTGAGTCCCAACCTGAAATCAGTGCAAACTGAACCCCCAACATGAACATCATCTAGTATGTTAATTCTCACATTCCTGAAGGGCACCTTGCAGAACAACAGAGAAATTATCTCCTCTGTTACTCTCAGATGCAGTGAGATAACAGAATTAATCTAGCCAGGACTTCCACTTTTCTGCACATAATATAGTAAGAAGTTGAGTGCCCATGGCTTTGTGTAATTCTTAGATGCACTAGAAGTTGGCCTAACTGAAATGTCTAATGCTAGCTATACAAACTAATGCCTCAAAGCCAGTATTTCTTCCCTAAAATTGTTGTTTTTTCATCACATTTATCACAAAAAAAATAACAGAAATAAATGTTTCCAACATCAGTCTGGATGGATTAAATATTGGTGCTGCCACATGATGCCTGTGAATTTACATGAGACTCTAGGATAGATTTCTAATAACCCAGGGCATTTTATTCATCCGTGTGGTTCAACAACTGAAAGGCAGCATGGTTAACATCTACAGATTTTTTTCCTTATCAATGTTCATCATCAAAAGCAAGGCAGAGGCAGAAATGTAAGCCAAAACAAACCTGTCAAAATCTCCTTTTAAATCACAATCTATAATCACATTTGTTGCCTTGAGGAACTTCCTTAATTGAATATCCCTGTTCAAGAATCATTTTAGCATTTAAAAATGTAATTCCTTATAGCTATTAGAACAAAAGCACACCATCAGTGTTCCACACATCCATGCTTGCATGCTGCAGAGCACAATTCAGCCTAATTCAGTCACAAGTCTTGTTTTGAGAAGAACAGATTTTTCTAAATGCACTTGAGATATCAACAAGCCATCTTCCAGCTTTGCAAACCAAAACACATAAGGAATTACAGCTCTCAGCGAACTGGTCACTGCCCCATCTGCCTGCATGCAATAAGGAGGAGACACTGATTCATTTCCAAAGGCTCTCAAAAGAGGTAACGTGCTGTGCAACTACACTCCTCAGGTTGTGCTGAGACAACATAAACCACCGTCTGAGGAAGAAGCAAAGTGCCATGGAAAAGACATTCAGCAGATACTCAGCACCATTATGAGGACTCAAATCCCACCCATGCCACTGAACTGCAGGCACGGGCTGAGCAAAAGCTTCCATGGGCTCCTGGTGTGGCTGATGGAGGGGGTGACGCACATCTTGATGGGCTGAACTGGCTTCCTGAACCTCTTCTCTCTCTTCCCACAGATTTAGGAGACCGGTACCTAACAAGCAAATAGGAAGAATCTGGCCTTGAGCACCTCATTCAAAGACTCTGAAGTTGAGGGACACCTCTCCCTCTGTGTAATAGCCTCTAGAGGTAGATGCTCAGAACAACAAAACACCTATAATCTATTACACAGCACCTTAGTGAAAGCTTGTGCACGAAGAACTATTTGCTAGAAATTCATTGGTTGTTCATTGAAAAGAAGTATCATCTGCCATAAAGAAAAAAACAAAACACAAGAGCTGGTTGAAGTGTAGCAGCTTCTCATTTTAATTAGCATATATTTATTTATCTCAGCTTTCCCCTTAACCCTAATTTGTTGGTTCTAAGAATAGATGAGTACTTCTGGTGAATAAACACTGATATTCAGTTACATAAAATATTCTGCGAGTATGAACATTATAAATAAACTCAACCTTAAATCTGTGTGTTGTGACTAATTTTAGGACTTGAGTTTTATCAAAAAAACAACGCAAAAAAAGAAAGCATGGAAAATCTTGACATGCACACCTCTTTTTCCAAACAGACAAACTAAAAAGGGCAAAAAAAGGCAAACCATTAGCTTCTACTAGCTAGGGGTGGGAGATTGAGAGGAGTGAAATGATTAAAAGATTTGTTAAAAAAAATATTAATTTTAATGTACATTTTTTAAGGTGTGTTCTTCTGGGGAAATGGCAATTTGGTGTACAATCCTACACATGTTTGTGTTAAAAATATTCTCTATTGTATCAAAGAAACAAGAGGAGTACATTAACTAGAGAAAGCTGAAGTTAAGGATTTAATTTTTTATTTTTGAACAGAGAGAATGCCAAAACAGAGCATGTAGAACATAAAAAAGAATAAGTAATTCTAAGAAAGGCTGGATTACCTTTTCTAAGTTGGAAAGGAAAAGAGGAGCAAAAAGAAATGTTTCTTTTTGTTTATAAGGAGTATTGCTGGAATACTAACTACCCACCCCCCTGACTCCAAACCAGTGCAGGCAAGGCCAGAGATGTCTTACTTCACTGAGCTGCGTTGCTGGGAAACTGGGTTAGGCAAACACAAAGAAAGAAGCCAAAAGATTAAGTGAGATGACGACTCAACTACTACCACATTTCACAGTCAAATCAGGTGACACTTCAATCCAGGAGAGCTATAAATCAAAATAATTTCTGAAAATGAATTTGAAGACTCCTTAGAGAAAATATTGTTTATCCTGAATTACCCAGGACATGAAAATAAGAAGTGTCTCCAAAACTGTTACAGCTGTAGCCCCTGAGATGTCTTTTTTCACTCCTGTCTTCCCCTGAAGTCTTGATAGTAGATACAAAACATGCCTTTGGTGAAGAATGAGATTCTGAGTGGCCCTAAAGGATTATAAAGGATACTAAACCACCAAACATTATAAAGGGGAAAAAACCTCACAACAACAACAACAAAAAAGCAGTAACATGCCACAAAAAATTACACCAAGATCATAGAATCACAGAATATCTCAGGTTGGAAAGGATACATAAGGATCATTGAATTCAACTCCCTGCTCCTTGCAGAGCTACACAAAATGAAACCACATGACTAAGAGCATCATCCAGACACTTCCTGAACTCTTGACAGGCTTGGTGCCATGACCACTTCCCTGAAGCCTGTCCCAGTGACCGATCACCCTCTCTGTGCCATCAACCCAACCCCCTAGATCCCTTTTCTGCAGGGCTGCTCTCCAGCCTCTTGTCCCCCAGTTTGTAGGTACAACCAGGATTGTCCCACCTCAGGTGGAGAATCCAGCATTTCTCTTGTTAAATTTCATCCCATTAGTGATTCCCAGCTCTCTTGTCTGCCCAGCTCTCTAGATTAACATCCTATTTCATGACTCAGTGGTAAATAGTAATATTATAGATAGAATTTTCTTAATTGTATTTTTCCTGTAATGGAAAGAAAGTAGTGAAGGAAGTTTGGATTTTTAGAGAATGCTGAGCTTTATATCCAGTCTTGAACAGTAAGTGACAGTCATGACTGTTGGGACCTTCGAGTTATCATCTTTGCATGCATTGTTACTCCCCAGCTCTCCTGACGTCTGCATTACAGCTTCACTTCCGCAGCAAGGCAGAAGCAGAGCTTCTAAGCAACAGAAGCAACTTTTTCAAAAGGCAAGCTGGTACCTCACACATCCATCTCCTCATCTGAGACCTTCCATCAAAGTAGTCTTTTTCATTGCACTCTTGTCAGTTAAGAAATACAGACCGACCTAACAGGCTGAACTATCCAGCCCAACTGGCACCCAGTGTGAACAAATCTCTGAAGTGCTCTGACTACTTCAGTAGCTGTCTGGGAAGTACCACAGCAAAGCAGACCTGATGAAGCTTTCAGGAGGCTTTCACTGGACTGCCTTGGAGAAGGATAGCCAACACTGGTAACATGGACCAACTGTGAAATTAGGAAAATGGAAAGTCAATATTTTAATAGTGAATAATGGGATTGCCAGGTTAAGAAAAATGATGCTATTGCAGTCATTGGGAGAACTCAAGATCTTCAGAAGAACAACCTTACCTACAATCCTCATCACAGTTATTTCTTGTTCAAAAAATTTACTTTTCAAGAAGTTAAGGAGTAGAGGAACTGTGTCAGATGTTATCACTTAGTTCCAACAAAGTAGTTGAACAATAAATGGCAAGACCTGTGCATAAAACACATCTGTGAACTTAGAGAAATAATGATTTATTAACACTCTTTGTTTCTTATATCAATATCAGAATCAATGTATGACTGTGAAGACAGATTTTCCATGCGACTTGGAGACATACAGGGATATGATAGAAAACCAAAAATGTTATTATGAGAAATTAAAACAATTACATTAGAATCACTTCAGCATGCAATCTCAAAGGCTACCTATAGCATGAAACCAGGCTGTACTAGTAAGTACTAACAAAGTACTAAGAATGAATCTTGCTAAATTTTTAATGCCTTGTATCATCACCTTTCGAAGCAACTGTTATCTAACATTCTAATTTCTGCTACAAAGAATTACAGAAGCTAAATTATCAATAGCTGGTGTGATATTATTCTGATATGTTATATCATTCCCAAGTAAAGGACATTTTATATCCAAACAGAGGAAAATAAGAAGCAATTCATAGGATTCTTGATTTTCTTAGTAACAGTCTATCCACAGCTATCAAGACTAGTATGATAATGGTTCCATACCGTGAAGCTGTTGTTGACATTTTTTGTGCTTGATTCAGCTACGCTGGCATCTGACAGGTCAACTTCATCAAATATTAGAGACTGTAAATGGAAGAGAACATAAAAATGTTAAATACAGTCTGAGTCCACTTTCAGATATTCTTACAGCCTGGGCTTTCATTTCCTTGCATCCATCCTAATTGGAAAATAAAAATAGAAAAAAAAAAGTGGTGAAAAAATAGAGAACACTGATGATGTGATAAAACTTCCCAATTGACCCTTAAACACAGTTCTATTTGCTAAGTGGTAGAAGAGAGTATAAAAAAGTGTATATTGGTTAAAATGTCTTTAAAAGATTTTATTTTTTTTAAAATAGATGCAGCTTTGAGGTGTCTACTGTGTAGCATAAACGTGGTGTCAGAGCAAAGAGGTTTACACTTAGTAAAAGATAAACTAATTAATCTGGTTTAGGAGGGAAATCTAAATTCCTGACAGGGCACCTATGATACAGTATCCATATGAGAAAACAGATCTAAAGGGCCTGAAGAGATCCCTTCCACTCCTTTGTTTGATGTTCCAGCAAGAGAAATCTTCAAACATCCCAGACTCTGGCAAAGGATTAATTAGGTCTGTAAAACTTGTAACAGGTTTTGAAACACAGAAGGGAAGACCAGCAGAAATGCTTCCCCCTTTTTTTAGCCATACCATGTTCTTCGCCTTCCATGCCATGGGAAGAATTGATGTTGGGGGAGTTTCAACATGTCTGGATTCAACATTATGGAGTATTAATACAATTGCCTACTGGTTACACTTCCTTTTTTCATCTTCATGGCACACATGACGTTGCCATTCGTAGAACTCTTATCTACCATGTTTATTAAGTCTTTATATAACTGCTCGTGGTAGCATCATGGGCAAAGAAGTGGAACAATAGAGGTGGTATTTGGGGCTGGACTCTCTGGAGAGATGATGCTTCCCGTGATTCATCAATGCCACTCAATTGTGCACCATGAATTATAGTCATATAGTCCTAGAGAGGCCTCTGTGCCTTAGTAATAGTTTCACTGAGAAGACCAGGCATTAGAAGACAATGAAGACCTGAAGCACCTCACTTATAGCTCCTGTAAGTTGCTGCAAACCCATAGGAAAAAGGCATGTAATGCCCACTGCTAGGCAACAGCACAATCTGAGCCAGCCCAACAAGCCAAGATGTTCTCAGTCCCAGCCCTGAGGGGGAGGGAGGAAATGCCTTTCGGAAAGAAGACAAGTATTCCCCACCGCCCACCCCCAATTTTCCCACTGAAAATCAAAACATTGATTGGAAACAGATTTTTCTTTTATATATATCAGTTCTGGCAGAGTATCTTCCTGTCCTGATCTCATGTAACCATTTCTACCTCCTTAACGGCAACATGGGCATCAGACTAGAAGAGTTTTTGTGAAATTCAGTTTGAGGGATAACTTCTTACCATTAACCCATTTTTCTCTGGGTATTTTTGGTATGTTAGATTTGACTGCCTGAGAGCCATTCCCTAAAAAACTCCCACAACTCCTTAAGATTAATTTATTATTTGTCCAAAAAGTCAAAGTAGTTAAAATAACTGTGATAAACCTCACTAAAAATAAATAATCCAGATAAATCACCAGTTAATTTAACACACTACATATTACATGCAACAGGTTTTTTTAAATAAAACAATTGCTAACAGAACATTAAACTACTGTTACACTTACAAATCTAACTGCAGTTACCAGTACATTGAATTAGACACTAGTAGCATAGAATTACCTTTGAATCCTTAGCATAGTAAAGGGTACGACCTCGGAGTTTGAAGTAACGCTTTTTCCACCTCTGAAAAGAACTGGTTTGCTTCAGTAGTAATCCTTCTTTTATACTTGTCTGAAAAATATTACAAGACAGAAGACCAGGTAAATACATATCTAAATGGCTACGCATGTAGATGAAAGTTCTGCTTTTAAAAATTTATGTTACACCTCCTATAACTGTCAATTTAAATTTGAATCCAATAACATTGCAGTGAGACTAATTCGCTTGACAACCAGACTTTGCATTGCTATTTTTCAAACAATGACAATGTTGGCAAAATGCTAATTTTACATGTAAACTGAAAAGGCAGTCAAGAGGCATATAATTATTGTGAAGATGAACACAAAATAATTTCATTGCCTGGAGAGCTGCAAACCCACAAATACTAAAGTGAGCAACAACTAATGGTGGCACAGTTCCGTAAAAAAAAATAAATGCTGAAAACCAGCTACAGAAGGTCATTTCCAGTTCCAGATTTGATTATGTTGAGGAGAAAAACAATTTCCACATAGGGACTAAGTCAACAAGGTACTTAAATGTGTGTCTGATGCATGCACATGAATTATGCCTTTAAAACAGAGGGAATGATCCAGTATGATGTAAGTCATGCATGACTTCAAGTGCACTGCTGAACTGAAGCTTTCAGCATGAAATCAGTTTCCCATTTGGAATAATTATTCTATGGAAATTGTGAGAACACCAACAGCTAGTAGTATTTTTATCAGGCAAGTATGTTTAGTCAAAAAGCAATTCTCTAATCCAAACCAATCCACTGCAGGCTGAACCCAGCATACATAAAACCCATTTTTCAAAATGAGTAAGACACAAATTACTATGTTTTAAATGTGTATGATGCTTTTGCCAGCATGTGTGGGATTCACCCAACTGATTACAGAAATTCTCCACCTAGACAGATGAAATAACATGACACAGCATACTAATTGCTTAAGTCTTGATATTAATTTTCTTCAGCTTTGCAGGATACAAAGGGTATTAGAAAAAGCAAGCACATTTGGGTATTATATTCCAAAATGGTCTCTGATATTTCCAGAATATTTCCCATTTGTAGTGTAATAACATGATGCAAATCTTACAATACTAGACAATGTGATATAAACATAATTTGAAGTTATTCTAGACCTTCTAGAGACTTAACCATGACCTGACCTACAGTTCAGAAACATCTTCTGTTATCAGATGTGAAATTCTCCTTACCTTTAATGCAAGTAATAAAAAAAACAGAAAAAGCAAAGTACTTCAGTGTTCTTACCATTTCCTTGAAATGAGAAACATCGCTTTTACACACGTATATCACACCCTACATTAGATACTCCTAGAGTCATGAACTAAGAACATGGTCCAACAATCACAAAGCAATTGAATTAATGCTCCCAAAAAAGCAACCCTCTCTGATTAAACATCACAGCTGAAAGTTTGGATTTTCTCACTTTATTTCACACGCCGACAACTTGGACCAACGTACTCGGTCTAGGTGAGGGGTAGCAATTCCCAGCTGAAGGGTCTGCTCACCACACACCATTTTAAGACTGCTTGCCATTTGCTGACCAGACCCTAAGTAGTTTGACACAATATAAATAGATTTAATCAGTTTGCAAATACTTATTCAAAGCTGATTGTTTTAGCCATGAAGCATTTTTGTTATATATCACTGTCTGAGATTTCAAAAGCTTATCACACAGAATGGCAATAGATGAGGACTTGCGAGTTTATCAAGGGCTGGAAGACATAAGGCCAAAGAAATTCAGTTCCAAGGAAGCAGTACTCCACATACATGGCAAATACTGACTTACTGGAACAATTTCCAAAACTGAAGAAAATCCACATTTCCTAAAACACAGCAAGTGTACTAGGATGCAAGGAACACACATTACACTGAATATTTTCAGGAATTTTGAAATCTGTTCAAAGAAAATAAATCTCCCTAAACCTTGAGCTGTTACTCAATAAAAATTCAACAACTCTTTCACATCACTTTTATACGTACATAAGCCATTTCTCCTTTTTCTACTCATCCCTTAAAACACCAGTATTGCTAAAATCAAACAAATAACTTCAAAATTAAATCTGCTTTGCAAATCAGCCATTTAAAAATAACTTGCTATGGCTGGCAGCTGATAGCCACAGAAGCTCTACAGAACATAATTTTGTATAAAAATGTTTTTAAAATACTAGACTAATAAAAAATTACCCAGGTATATAAATCTGAAGTTTACATTTACCACCAATAGATATACCAGGCTATGGTTTGAGCTTCTTAAGTAGACAATTCCATAGCTACAGGCATCAAAACTGAGCATCAAGCTTTGGGCCAATATCCTTAATTAACTTCATTTAGCCTTTAAAATGTGAAAAAAAAACCCCACCAAAACCCTTCCATCTGCCAACTAAGTCATTAGGTAATCTGATAATGATGCTTTCCTGAATCTACACACAAGTCACAGCACTTACAGTAATTTCAGATTGGAAGTAACTTCTCAGGTTGTTGAATTTGGTCCACCTTATTGCCTACTTGCCAGGTAGTGTCAAGTTTTTCAAGAGCATTGATCAGGCTAGAGAAAGAGATCAGCACCTTTTCCTCTCCCAGTGGCAATTAAGACAGTGCTCCAAGATCTCACTGTTCTGAGAAACCGTCTAATTAATCTCAGCTGGACATTAAATCTTAAGCATAAGCAATAATCACTGCCAGTTACATTAACTACTTTCCTACTGTAATTTAGGAGAAACAAGAAGTGCACAACCCACAATCCCATGCTACTTGTCACTTTTACAGAATCACCTCTCATCTGCTTGCCAAAACCTCTGACTTGTCCCTGCAGCAACTTGCATCATCTGTTAATACAACAGAACTAGAATAAGAATGGAATGAAATGGAATTCTGGAACAGAACAGAGCAGGCTAGAATCACTAACAATCTTTACTACTTTAGCCACTAACAATTACGAAAATATTCACAGTATTAGGAACACAACACCACAGTGCTCCACAGTGGTATATTTTCATGAAAAAAATGTTTATATAAAAATGATAGTCACATTTCATAAAATTAAGAAGGTGTACATGTGTTCAGTTATCCAAGAATGTTGAATACAACTCTACATTGCCATTATTTAAATTACAAAAACAAATGGGATTTTGATCACTGAAAAATGTGAAAAAGCTTCTTTTCCATCAGCAGATTTTAAAATGTTCAGTATAAAACAACTGAAAATTCAAAACTAATAGTTTTAGTTTCAAAGACTACCAACCACATTGCCTTACTTCTCATTCACTCATTTTGTGAAGTTCCCAAGCTTGTGCAGAAGTCATTTTTTTTACTTCTGCTGCTGCTAGAAAGACCCTAATAAAGAAGAAAATATTCTGAATTCAGAAAACAGTAGAATGACTATGGATGGACAACTGACAACTGCAAACTAAAACACCAAATTATTAAATATAAAACCCTCCTCCCTACTGCTTTTCAGGTATCTAAGTGGACATGCTGCTCAAAATGTGTCAGCCGAGTGAAGAAAATCAGGAAATGTCTGAAAGTGTGGAGAATTAAGCTGAGAACAGGAAATTCCATAAAACAGGGCAGTCAAATGTAAACAGGAAATTAAGAGGGTGAAGAAGAATTTGAACATCACCTTGCAACAGATGCTCATGCTGAGATGAAAATGTTCCTTAAATACTTTGAAAGGTGGAAGACAGCTAGGGGGCTGGCAGGATCATTTTTCAACAGGGGTATAAATATACTCTTGTACTCAGAGATGAGGAGATCACAGCAAAGAAGCTCATAAAATTCTTGGCGTCTGTCTTTACCAATGAAGACGGTGAGATGGTAGCTCACACAACACGTGTCTCCTAACATCAGAACAGCTACAACAACATGAAGCAGATATACAGAAAGCACTAGACCAGTCACATCACTAAGTCATGTGGACCAGATGGCATTGACCTGAGAGCCCTGAAGGTTCTGAAAGGACCACTGCTACAGTCACTCTCTCTTCTGGATTCCCAAGGAATCAGTTTTATTCAAATTCAGTGATCCAAAGAAGGATCATACAGTAAAATCTTTAGATATGTAGAAGAAACTAAGCTTTTTCAAGTAGTCAAATTCTATGCCCATGGCAAGAAGCTCAAAGGATGTTATAAAAGCAGAAGACGAGCTTCAGCCCAGGTCAAGGTAAGATGCTTTGCTTCAGGGCAAAAATCTAAACCTCACTAACATTCTCACATCAACTTTGAGTGGAGAAGAGATGTGGGAGTCAAAGTTCACACCTCTCTGTGCTCAACCATAGACAGAAAAGCCAAAAAACTTTGGCTGCCACCAATACAAGTAACAAAACTGAGACAGAAGATGTCATTTTGCTGCTATATAAAACATTGACATACCAGTTCTTGTCTCTCCAACTCAAGAAACGGAGTTAAGAGAATGTAAAGAAAAGGACAACTCAAATGATTCAGAGGATGGAGCAGCTGTCTTACAAAGAGAGACTAAAAAACCTGGAACTCTTCAGTTTGAAGAGCAGAAGACCAAGGGGGCAATATGATCAACGTTTATAAAAGCATTAATGCAGAGAATGGTGAAAGTGGAACTATTGCTCACCAAATCCCACAATATTGTATCAAGCAGAAATGTCATTATATTGAGATCAGCTTAACAAAGACAAATGCAGCATATCTTTAAATAGCAGGTAGTGACTTTATGAAGCTTGCTATCACAGCAAACTGTAAAGGCAGCAAGTGTCAGCAAGAACAAAACAAGGATTAGACAAATTCATTAACACCACCTCTGTACATGGTCCTTTTAATCTGTTATAGGGAAGTACCAAGGGAATGGACTGCAGCCAAACTCATGTGCTGCTCCCAAACAGCCTTCCTATTCCACTGCAGAAGATGGATTTGCAGCCTGACTCTGCAAAAAAATTTCACAGGTTGGATTAGACAGTATCTATTCTGCTTTAGAGCCTGATGTTTGTGTTTGTAAGTGGATCTAGGCCTTCATTTACCAAAATAATTAATATGTTGATTGTTTACAGACCAGGCAATTAAAGAAAAACGATCTAAAAAGC